AGCTTCGCTATATTAGTCCTAGGCCTCGTTGTGTTCTGAGACGTTGTAATCACTTCCGCATTATTGAGTTCTGCGCACTCTTTCCTTTCACAACTCATAACACAGTAGCATGCCACAAGGTAACACACCATACAGTAACAGGCTCGCAGAACATATCACACAGCAGCATACCACATTGAAACATGCCACGCAGTTACATACCACGCAGTAACATGACACACAGTCACATACCACATATAACATACCAAACACACAATAACATACCACACCACAACATACCACACAATAACGTACCATGCAGTAACATAACACACACTATAGTACCACACAATAGCATGCCACATCATAACACACCACACGATAACATACCACACAATAGCATACCACACAGTAACATACATTCCACACATTAACATACTAAACAGTAACATACCACACAATAGCATACTACACAGTAATATACCACATGCATGCATGCCAGGGCCTCTGCTGCTACTCGCTACCGCCCACTCCCCTCCATGCCCTTACCGGCGACAGCAGCACGTTGGCAGCTTTCAAATCGCGGTGGATTATGTTGAGTGCATGCATGTACGTCAGCGCCTCTGCTATTTGCACCGCCACCTTCAGCCGCATGGCCCAGCTAAAGACGAGCTCTCCCTCCGCACCTGGTTAACATACCACACGATAACATAACACTTTAACATACCACACAGTAACATACTACACAATATCATACCACATAATAACATACCACACAGTAACACACCACACAACAACATACCACACAGTAACATACCACACAATAACATACCACACGATAACATACCACACAGTAACATACTACACAATATCATACCACATAATAACATACCACACAGTAACATACCAGACAACAACAGACCACACAATAAAATACCACACACTAACAGACCACACAGTAACATACTACACAATAACAGACCACACAATAACAGACCACACAATAACATACCACACAGTAACATACCACACAGTAACATACCACGCGATAACATACCACACTATAATACCACACAGTAACACACTACAGAATATCATACCACATAATAACATGCCACACAGTAGCATACTACAGAATATCATACCACATAATAACATACCACACAGTAACATCCACACAATAACTTACCACACACTAACATACCACACAGAAACATGCCACACAGTAACATACCACACAATAACAGACCACACACTAACATACCACACACTAACATGCCACACAGAAACATACCACACAGTAGCATACCATACAATAGCATACCAAACAGTAACATGCATGCCACACAATATCATACTACACAATAACATACCACACAGTAACATACCCTTCCCACCTTCACTGCCCCACCCACCCCACTTCACACCAAACACCCACCACAATTTACCATCCCATCCCCCAGCAGTAGGAGCAGCAGACAGCCCACTCCCTTTCGGAAACAACACCCCCAGTGGCTATGTCATGCAGGGGAGGTATGGCAGTGGAAAAGCATGATCTGGCCCAAGACTCAAATCCCACCCCTGACGTAGCTAGAGCTGACGCGAACCAGAGCCGCCGGCCGGTCGGCTCTGACGGTGTCCATTAAGCTTTGAACGCCAGATCGGTTACTTGAGCACCGAGTGCCGCCGCCACGCAGATTCCACCCACCACACCCCACCCACAAGCCACAACCCCAGAGGGTGCCGCCCCTGAGAGAGTGTGCTGCCCGCTTGCTCCCATGCTGCCCCTCCACCCGCCCACCTCCCCCATCCCTTCAGCCCATGCCTGCTTACCTCTACTTACCTGTACCTACCAGAGCCGTGCAGAGCCATGATGCCTGAGGCTGCTGGGAAGTGGGGAGGGGGGAATTAAACGAGGGCGGGACTCCACTGTAGTCTAGGCAGGGTGCTGTTGGGTGGGAGAGAAGAGGTGAGTGAGAGGGTCGACTCCACACTCCGCCCTTGCTCCAGTGCTCCCACCCTCAGGCTGCGGGAGAGAAAGGGAGAGAAAGAAAGGAGGGGGTCAGAATGCCTGACCTGTAACCATACCTCACCTGTTACCACACCTTGCATACCATGACTCGATCTAGCCTAGCCTGCCCTCTAGCCCCCCAGCCCCCTTCTGCTGCTACCGCTGCTGCTGTTCTGCTTCTGCTGCTACAACTGCTGCTGCCGGTCTGCTTCTCAGCTGCATTCTTCCCTTGATGCCAAGTGACCTGGTGGCGGGCAGAAAGGAGAAGAAACAATGAGTGAGGGTTTGCCAAAACATGGCAGAGGGTAAAGCTGCCAGAATAAAAAATGACGACAGTAAGACAGAAGAGAAACATGCAGCAGAAGGAAAATTTGAGGCCAAGGAGAAAGCCGACGTACCTTGAGAGGCCGAGCCCACCCCGATACTCTCCCTTGTGGCAGCGATTGCCATCTGCTGCAGCGCTGCCTCCCTCCCGTCCCCACGAGTCCCTGCACGGCCACCGGGGAGAGGCGTGGGGAAGTGTTGGTGTTGACCCCAGCGCCCCTCCCCTCCACCTGCAATGCACACACGCAGCAATGGTCAGTGTGCATGAAATGGCCGCAACACCACCACAACCCAGAAAATGCAAAGTCTGGAAGTGAAAGAAGGGCCACTGGTTGAGGCAAGGCCACACGCCACAGACATCAAGGGAACCTGCACCTGAGGAGGAGTCCTGCATACCTGAGGGGATTACCTGCATACCTGAGAGGGTTACCTGAAATGTGGGGGTATGTGTGTGGCATGTGAACCGCGCTCAACCAATGGGATTGTTTTAAAGCACAACTGGCAAACGAAATGGCAGCAAGGAAAGCGCAATGTGGAGGGCAAGGGTGAGTGCATCGAACTGGTTACTTAGCTGAGCGTGAGAGCGAGGTCAAGGAAGCTGAAGCACCACCAGATGCCTCCCTCCACGGCAGCCAAACTCCCAGCCTTCCCAGAGATGCTGTTCCGCTCCCTCCTCTCCCCTGCTGCTTGTCCACTCCCCCCTCCAAGTGATGCCATCAGTGTGACCTGGAAGGGGGCAGAAAGGAGAGAAGGAGGCGAGTGAGAGCAGGACTTGAAGGGAGCAAGTGCGACCACAGCAGGTAAAGGCAACCAAGGACCCACAGCAAAACGAGAGAGTGGAAGAAAAGAGCAGGAAGAAGGCTCACCTTGAAATGCCAAGCCCAAGCCCATACTCTCCCTTGTGGCAGCGGGATTGCCATGCTGCAGTGCTGCCTCCCTCCCGTCCCCTCCCAGCGCTGCCTCCCTCCCTCCCTCCTGCACGGCCACAGGGGAGGGGCACGGGGAAGCGTCGGTGTTGACCCCAACGCCCCCCCCCTCCACCTGCAACGAACATGCACAGAGCCTGTCAGTGTGCAACCACGGAATCAAGCTGGATTGGCAACTGAGAGTTTGAAGGCAGCACAAGCGAGGGGAGGGGCCACTGGTGGAAACACGACCCAAAGCCACAGACCTTAAAGGGAACCTGAGGGGATAAACCAGCTGTAGGGTTTGTACCTGATGGGGCTGTAATGTCTAAGAAAGGCTTAACCTGAGGGGATTTACCAGGAGTAAAGGAAAGGTCTGTGGCTTGTGAACCGGGCCCCAACCAGTGGCAAGTGTTCAGGGATAAAACACAGAAGCCCATGCGAAAATGACTGAGTGAGCAACATGAGCAGTGAGCAGCAAGCAAGAGTGAGTCCAGGGAGGTGAAGCACTTAACTGGCAGCTGAAGAACCGCCGAGAGCTGCTGCCTCATGTCCCCCTCCCTCTCCTCCCCTCCCCTCCTGCTTCCGCGCTCCGCGCTGCTGATGCTGCCGCAACTGGTCCCGTCAGCTGTCTCTGCTGCATTGCAAGTGACCTGGAAGGGGGCAGAACGGAAGGGAAGGCCAGAACGGGAGTGAGTGCAGGCCTTAAAACAGGCAAGGGTCAAATGAATGAGCGCGAGGGGGGAACTTAGCAGAAAACGAGTGAAGCGGGTTAGAGAGGTAAGAGGCTCACCTTGAGAGGCCAAGCCCATCCCGAATCCCGATACTCTCCCTCGTGTTGAATCTGCTGCAGTGCTGCCTCCCTCCCGCCCCCACGAGTCCCTGCACGGCCACTGGGGAGGAGCGTCGGGAAGCGTCGGTGTTGACCCCACACCCCTCCCCTCCACCTGCAATGCACACAAGCAGAGGTAGTCAGTGTGCATGGCATGGTCACAACACAAGCCAGAGACTGGAAAGTGCCAAATCTGGGAAAGTAAGGGAGGGCCACGGGTTGAGGCAAGGCCAAACGCCACAGACACCAACGGAACCTGCACCTGAGAGGGTTACCTGCACACCTGAGAGGATAACCTGCACACCTGAAATGCGGGTGACTGTGGCATGTGAACTTCACTCAACCAGTGGCATGATTTAAAAGATAAGGGCGAAAGCACAACCAGAAAACGAAATGGCGGCAAGAAAGGTACAAGGCATGATGCGGCAGGCAAGGGTGAGAGAATGGAGGAGAGTTACTTAACTGACGTGTGAGGGCGAGATCAAGGCAGCTGCAGCACCTCCAGCTGCCTCCCTCAATGGCAGCCCTCCTCCCCGCCTTCCCGTGCGCGTCCCTGCACGGCCACAGGGGAGGGGCGTGAGGGAGCGTCGGTGTAGACCCCACACCCCTCCCCGCCACCTGCAATGCGCACACACAGAGCTAGTGAGAGCACGCTGGTGGGAGCAAGGTGAATGGGTGAATGAGCACACAGCGCAAGAGAAGAGGGAGGAGCCACTGGTGGAGGCACGGCCACAAGCTACAGACCCAAGGGCACCTGAAAAAGAACCTGAGGGGTGTACCTACACCTGAGAGGGATACCTGCACCTGAGGGAACTACCTGAAGCAGGGAGGTCTGTAGCATGCGAGCTGTGCCCAACCAGTGGCGTTGTTTCAAGAGGACGGTGCAGCAGCAGATGAAACAAAGGAAACGGTGTGGCAGGCAAGGGTGAGGGCATGGAGGAACGGGTACTTAGCTGATGGCGTGAGAGCAGGAGGCAGTTGAAGCAGCGTGGGCAGCAGGCATGGCATGGCGTCTCAGGCGACCAGCAGCGCTGCTCTTGAGCTCCTGCAAGGGGGTGTTGGAAGGGGGGGAATGGGAAGGGAAGGATGGGGATGGGAGGGGAGGGAGAGGCAGTGAGTGTGAGGGAGTCATGCATGCAAGCTCCGTGAATTGAAGAAGAGCGAATGGAGGGCCACTGGTGGACGCACACTCTCAAGCCACAGACTACGGTCTTTACCAAAGGGCTTTACCTGGAAAAGGGCTTTATCTGGGGGAGGGCTTTACCAGTAATGGGGAGGGTCTGTGGGCTGTTTCGTGTGCTGCCACCAGTGGTTACGTTTTGAGAGAAACAGAAATGATGGAAAACGAAGCGAAAATGAATGCATGGAGGAGCGAGCACTTAGCTGGTTATGTGGTTGTGTGCAGAGGGCAGGTGGAGCACGTGCCGGCACCACCAGGCGTTGTCTGCTGCCGCCAGTGGCTTGAGGCATGAGGAGAACGCTGATGCTGCCCCACGTCCGTCCGCCTGCCACTGCTGCTCGCGATGAGGCCTGGAAGCGGGGGAGGGGAAGGAAGGGGAGGGGAGGGGAGGGGAGGGGAGGGGAGGGGAGGAAAGGTGAGGGGAGGGGAGGGGAGGGGAGGGGAGGGGAGGGGAGGTGGGGGGGGAGGGGAGGGGAGGCGAGGGGTGCACAAGGAAAGGCAGTGAGTGGGATGGGATGGAGGCACAGTGCAAAATAGAATGCATGCAAGCGTGGTGAATTCTAGAAGAGCAAAAGGAGGGCCACTGGTGGACGCACACTCTCAAGCCACAGACTAGACTACGGTCTTTACTAAAGGGCTTTACCTGGAAAAGGGCTATACCTGGGGGAGGGCTTTACCAGTAATGGGGAGGGTCTGTGGGCTGCTTCCTGTGCTGCCACCAGTGGTTCCGTTTTGAGAGAAACAGAAATGACAGGAAATCGAAAAGTGGGTGGATGCAAGGAGGAGCGAGCACTTAGCTGATTATGTGGTGGTTGCTTGCAGAGGGCAGGTGGAGCATGTGCCGGCACCAGCAGGTGCTCTCTGCTGGCGCCAGGCGCTGATGCTGCCTCGCGTGGTGAGGTGACTTGCGGCCCCACGCCCGTCTGCTACTGCTCCTTGCAAGCAGCAGCCGAGTGACCTGCACAGGAGTGAGGGTCGGAGCGAATGCGGTGAGAACACAGTGAGGAGGGGTGATAGCAGCAAATGCGTCGCAACTGAGGAAGGAAAGGAGAAGGGGGACGGGGGGGGTGGAATGGAGGGAGGGAGGGGGAGGCCCATGACACACATGCACGAGCGAGCGACAGCGAGGGAGACAGAGAGGAGGAGGGGACTGACGCGTGCACGCAGCGACGACTGCTAGTCTAACCTACCCCAACCCACTAGCGACTCTGCTCTATGCAAGCGGCTCAGGCAAGCGCTGTGTGACATGGGCTCCCCGGGGGGAAGGGAGGATGGGAAAGATGTATGGCATGGCGTGCAGAATTCGAAAAGCATGGTAAAACGAGAAGTGGTACAAGGGGAGCGGGATGGGCTGAGCACTTAGCTTCAGGGACGGCGTTTGACGGCGTCTTGGTTGGTGGTGCGCGTAGCACGCGAGTGGCATGCATGTTGTCACAGATGTGCACGCTGTCTGGGTCACTCAGCTGGTTGCCGCGTTGCTTCCTTCTCGCCTTGCGATCACGCCTTGCACTGAAACAACAACAAACAAGGTCCGTCAGACGCTGAAATCGAATCCGCGCAAACGAAAAGACTTACTGCACGCACAAGGACAAGCAACGGTTTCCCACCTTAGATTGCAGCAGCAGCTCGGACCGCAGTAGCGGTCTTGAGAACATCGCGTTTCGCCTCGGTCACACGTTTGTAAATGGCGAGAGGACACCTTCGCGCCTCAGGTATATGATTTCTGCACATGACGGAAGAAATGTCAAGGATCGAAATTGTGAAGAGAGTATATGAAGCATTAGACTAAAGCTTGAAACACTGAACACGACTTTTACTACTTACAAACGCTGCTTCAGCAACTCGTATTGCGGCAAAGCCAAAGAGCACATCCCCGATCGTCAGCTTAAAAGGATGCTTCAGTTTTCTCGCCTGCAAAGGAACAATGCGCTAGTCAGAAACGAGCGAAAAGCGATGAGAAACGGGTAAAAACGTAAGCTGGAACGTAGGGAAAGATTACCTTAGTCCAAACGCGTTTCAGTGGTTCGGAGCTCCGTGAAGCGTGCAGCGAGCCTACGAGGTGAACCTCGTCGTTCTTGCGAGGCTTATCAAATAACGCGGCTGTAAATCATATGAGTAGATAGGTCGGTCGCGGTGAAAATGTGCTAGTTACGTAAACGAGAAGAGATGACTAGGAGACGAACGAGCGGAATGTTTAACAACCCTGCAAATGTCTAAACTGGCGATGTCAAAATGTCGCTCTGGAAAACCCCTAGTCGAAAAGTGGCTTCGGAAAATCGCTGGTTGGAATGTCGCTCTCTGAAAATGCCTGGTCTGGTTGGAATTCCACAGCCAACCCGGGGTGAGTGAGGTGAGGGAGACTGGGGTGTGGGAGGCTCAACTCTCGCGTTCACTGGTCGGCTACCGAAAGAAGACAAAAAAATGAGAGGTCCTCCTTGATTTAGGCCGCGCGGCTCCGAAGGGGTTCGGACAAAGGGGTTTGGTATCTGGAGGGATGGCCGTTGGCAGCACAAAACGCGACTGGGTGAGCTAGAATCGTCGGATCGATTTCTTGCAAAACGGATATACGGATTAGATTGACCCAGTGGACGTTGCGGATAGGCGGGAACAGCACACCGTCGATTCGAAACGAAACACACGGACTCGCGCGGGTTTCCGGGCAAACAGATAGCCAATGGAATGTGAGGAAGGCCAACCGTTGGGAGGAAATGGGATGGGATGGAGTTGGGGTTGGATGGGCTTCCCTGCTCTCTCTGCCTCTCGGGGAGAACCTAGCAGATTGGAGTCAGGTTGGGGTGAGGAAGCGCTGTTGAAGAGATTGGCGAAACGGTTCAGCGAATTCTATCATGAGAGTTTCAGGTATTGGCGAAATTGGCGAAGGTGTAAAAATTGTAGCTGAGCGTGTTACCCTTCCAGGCTGGATGTGGGCCCAGACCAGGACCAATCGGAGTGATACGGAGTCTGATCGAGTGTTGCACGTTCGACCTGATGTGGTAGGCTGACCTGACAGTAAAAGTCCTCTGTGTGACTCTGTCAGGTTGGTTTGGGTTGGGTATGGTTCGGTTAGAATGTTGGCGACACAGGTGACAAAGTTGCTGGTGTGGACCTGCACACACTGTGATCTGGTTCGACATTTCACATATCTCTAGTAAAAAGGATTTAGTCTCAGATTAACGAACTGTAGCACAAATACATAATCACTTTTACATTAAAAAAAAAGGATAGACATATGTGCAAATCTACCTGGGGATGGCGACAGTCAGCCAGCCATGCACCCCAATAGATAAAAGATAACAAAAAAAAAGGTTACAACTCCTAGCCAGGCTGAGGGTGTCTCACAACTTGAGAGTGAGATCCAAGGAAGCCTGGTTCAAAACAGGGCAGTCAGAAGCTATGGGCATGAGATCCATGGGCGCATTGCTCTCCAGCTTTCTGCTGGCGCCATTCCCTGTGGTGTCCTCAGCAGCAGTAGGCACAGCAAGGTACGCCGGCACAGGAATACAATACGCGCTAGCAGCTGCACTGCTGTTCGTGAACCCCTTTTCTTGCACTTGGGATCCGGCCGCTACAGCCGCGCCTCTAGCGCCAGCCTGTCGCAGGCTCCGGAGCTCTTCATCCACCATCATCATCACACTCCTCATATCGTCGCCTTTTGCAGCGCCAGCAGCACCAACAGTGCCTGCCGTAGCATGAGAGCTCACACGCCGAAGCATCTGCGGCATGGGCACAGCAACCACGGAGCTCGGCTCATCCGAAACGCTGCGCCCAACAACAGCAGCAGAAGCAGTTGCAGCAGGGAGGGAGGCGAAGGACCGGGGAGCGGGAGGAGGAGGGGCCATGTTCTTTGCAAGCAGCTCAAAAGCTGCTGCCACGACAACAGCCGGGGGGGACGAGGTCGAGTCCGCCGGCTGTCGTCGGAAAAAGGTGGTTGAGGTGGGGGAAGGGCCCTTGCTGCTCCCAGCTGCTCCTGCCGCTCCTGCTGCCGACTTTTCTGCTGCGGCTTGTCCAATGGATTGGGTGTGAGGGGACGGTGCCGTCTCGTCACCATGCTCTTCCAAATCAGCTGCCGTTTCCGGCAGCAAAAATCGCGAATCCTTTGTGTCGGACGGCCCGTTGCCGAACATCCAATCGATGGCCAGCACTCCTGCCGGCAGCGGAGTCGCGGCGGCGGCAGCAGACGCGCCGCCGACTGACTGATTCGCAGCAACGTCGGTCACTGACGAGCCGCCAGTTCCCGCAGCTCCAGTTTCCGGCGGGGAGAGCTCCTTCGCGTCGGAAGCCGAGACAAGACGCGACGCGGCTCCTACCAATGCAGACTCGTCGACGCGCGACGCGGGGAGCTTGCTGAAAAGTGCGTCCTTGGGATCGCCGCCTTCCGCGGCGAGAAGCCCGGCGGCGGCTGCGGCGAGCTTCGCTTCGCTCACTGAGACATTGTTCGGCGACAGATCGGCGAGTGCGGCGTCGACTGCGGCGGGCGCGGCCGACGGGAGCCCACCAGTGGCGCCGGCGGCGGTGAGTCGCGCCATCCACAGCTGCGCGCGCTGCTCGAGCGAAGGCCCCACGGCGGAGGACGCGGCGAACGCCTCGGCGAGCGCGGCGCGGCAGCGCGCTTGCTCAAGCGCGGCCTGAAGAGCGACGGAGAAGTCGGAGGTGGCCTGCGGGAGCAGCGCCGCCATCAGCGCCGCGGAATCAGGGACTTGCGTCAAGCCGGGGACCAGGGGGGCGCGCATGGGGACGGCGCGAGGGAGAATGCGCTGCATTTTGCGCTGAGGGGCGGAAGTGTTCGCGGAAGGCGCGGTGCCACCGAGGGAGGTCACGCGGTCGCTATCTGCTCCGGCACTTCCGAAAGCCGACTCGCGCAGAGCCGCCCTTGCGGCGGCTTTTTTCGCTTCGGCCTCCGCAGCCGCAGCTGCAGCCGCCGCAGCGCGGTCCTTGTACGAGGGCCGCCCGCGCTTCCGCGGCCGTTGCGTCTTGCCGTCGCTCGCGGACGCGTCGGGTGCGGCGCGCTTGGCGCTGGGCGTAAAATGAGTGAGGAAGGAGTTGGGTAGCGAGGAGTTGAGAAGCGACGAGTTGAGGAGAGTAGCATTGCCGGTCGGCGACGTCGCTGCGACCATCGACTCGAGAAGCTGCATCTGCGCCGCGGACGGCCCGAGCGGGTCAATGGTGGAGGAGAGGAAGGAGGAGTTGAGGAGGGGGTTGGACAGGCGGGATTGCCACGAGAGGGGGGACGACGCGAGCGCGGAGGAGAACGGGAAACCCGCGGAGCAGAGTGACGCGGCCATTCTCTGGCGACGGAGAAGCGACTCCTGCTGCATGGCTGACGCCGCCGCCAAAACCGCTGCGGTTGCCGAGTCTTGCATGCTGCTGTCGTCCGTAAATTGCGGGGAGGAGAGGAGAGGGTCAGCGGGTAAGGCGAGGTCCACGTCGCTCCTTGGCGCTTGGAAGGGGTCTGATGTGAGCCCGGGGAATCTGCACGCGACGTTCTCTAAAGACTGCTGAAGGAACGCCATAGAAGTCGAGGTGGACCGAAGATATGCAGTGGAGAGAAATGGTGACACGCGAGAGGTTTGTGTTGCGGCAAGAAACGGTATTTCGATTTCGCCAAGAAAAACTGTCTAACGAACTCGGAGGGTGTCGAAGAAAACCAGCCGCGGGCGAAGGAGAGAACGGAGGTACCACAGGGTGAATGAATGGCAAAGCAGCTGGGCTTTGAAATATCAAGGTAGCGAACTGTATTGGTTGTGTGAAGAGGAATCTGTTCTGTATGCTTTCCGTTTCTCTCAGTCTCCTGCACGGGGCCTGAGGTGATGGGGGAAAGGCGGTGGAAGGGGAACGTGGGAGGAACAGCCACAGTTCGTCTGGGTGGGGCACGTTTCAGTACGGTTTACCATGGTCTTTCCACCGCAGCCGGAGTGGTTTGGTAACGAATGTCGGGGTGCAGGGGGGTGCGGTTTGGCATATTGCAACGACGGGGGAGCTGTGGCGAAGGGAAGGGGGAGTAACAAGTCGTTCCTTGGGGGATCGCAAAACAGCACAGCACGTCTGGGAAATGGGGAAGAGAAGCGAGGTCGAGTTGCGGGGTGGTGGTTTTACGAGCACGAGACGACACACACTGGTTATCATTAGGTCGTTATGATGCAACCCCCACGCGAAAGGACCCTTTGTCACTCTCTGCCCCGCTTGCGCTTGAGTTGAAACTTGAACCCACTCGCGCCCCCCTGAGCACGCCTCACTCACCTCGCCAAACAAAATCCTTCATTCCCTTCCACCTTGATCCTATTCACATGGCTTGGCGGACGCTGGGCTGGTTGCGTTTGGCAACACCAAGATCTTCTCACTCCAGCACAGCCTCCGCCACGAGCCCCGAGTAGGGGGACCATCCGGCGGCCGGAAATCCTTGCGGAGTGGGACTGCAAGCTGCCCAGCCCACTGTCCAGCTGGTTCAATCCCTCCCATTCCACCTCCCCTCCCAAGCCATGCCAACCCGCTTCCCCTCAATGCAATGGTGGGGCGGAGCAATACTGTATCGCTGCGGTGTCTACTGCGGGGTTTGGTGCAAGTGTTGAAACCTTGCCTGCGCGCATGCATGAACTGTAGTGAGCCCACGCGCTACCGTCGGCAGCATCGTACACGCGAAGGAGCACGTGAACATCCATCATTTCTGCGTCGCTATTTAATGCAGCGGCCATTGCAATCCGGACATTATGATGATCCTGGTTGGATGTGCCCGCAAATTTCTTCGTGAACGATTCATATCGGTCAGAAACGCATGTTTCATGTGCTGAGTGAGGGGAGATATTCGATACTGTATAGGCGGCGAAACACTTTGATTTCCAAAACGTTTCACACCATTCCATGCCAGACCTTCTGTTGATTTCTCGAAAATTAATTCGGCGTATGTGTCACTTTCACAGCTTCCATTTCCCTTACGACGCACTTCGGAACGGAAGCCACAGAAGCATGCTTCCAGAAGCCTGTTTGTGGTCCACAGCATAAATAATTTTGTGTGTGTGTCCGAGAGCTTGTTTCTCAACTGGGCAGCGGATTCCATTATCTTCAACGACCCAATCAAAGGCCGCTCAAGAAGGCAACTGGCAGCGCGAGAAAAGGGTTTATGACCAGATACCTGCATCCACAGTAATCAGCGCACTGTTGCTAGGAGGTGGGCGTGAGTAATTCAGTGGTCCGGCTCGCAAATCGTCTACTCAGCCGAATGGGCACGTGATGGGGTGGTCGGTAACAGTAAGCTATTGGTCATAAAGAAGTACACCTCGGACCGGACTTGTACAGAAATACCTAAAACAAATCCTGAACAAGAAGAGAACGGATTTGACAGCGGCGTACCTCCTAAGGTGTTTGGAATGCCAAAGGTGTAGGAATTTGCGTGACACCATAATCTGCCCGTAAAGGGCTGGAATCGACTCAACGATGTATCACAAACAAAAGGGAAATTATACGCGCAGTCACAATTATGGCCGTATTATCACGTTTGGTCACGGGGTTATCACGGACAGTCACAGTACAGTACTTCGCTATCACGCATGATCACAGCGCTATCACGCTTGATCACTCCTCGCCCCGCAGGGTTATCACGTTTGGTCACTCGTTGAAACGCCCGCCAAAAAGTCGAAACTCTCAAATCTACTGTAGAGATTCGGGTACTTTTATCTCGCGCGCGTTTTGTCTGTAGTGAAAAACGTGATGTGACTGTCGAAATATACTCGGTCCTTGTTAGGGACCGATGCAGTTTAATGCAGAGTCCGCAAACTATTGTCTGCAGTTATTATTAAAAATAAATAAGCTGTACTAATTTGTTGCAAAAGTACCAAAGAAAACCATCAATTCTAAGAAACATCAAATCTTATCAATCGATTGTGCGCCTGAGACTGAACTTGTTTTTAGCTTGTTAGCAATGTAGTGAATGAAGTGAACGCCAATAATAAAACTATTCGGAAGAACGGACATACCGTATGTCGAACTACCACAACACAATGTGTTAGACAGTATCAAACTATACAGGTTACAGTTATCAATTATTCACATCGGCATAAGCTTATATTACAAGATGCAATTACACTAAACATGTCCATCATAAATGGGTTTGATTAATTCTAAACAGTTAAATTACACATATCAACCAACACAATTACGTGTCGTATATGCATTTCCCCGCCTGTAACGTTCAATGGTTTTCCATCTAATATAAGTCAATTGTATGGGTTTCCCACCAGCTAAAGCTATTGTCACTGTGCTAAACATTATTACAATGCTCTCACTGTTTAAATCATTCAACCAAAACCCATGTCTTTGGTTTATGGATGAAATGCACACCATAAACTAATTATATAATCGAAACTGCTACTGCATCGGTCCCTAACAAGGACCGAGTATATTTCGACAGTCACATCACGTTTTTCACTACAGACAAAACGCGCGCGAGATAAAAGTACCCGAATCTGTACAGTAGATTTGAGAGTTTCGACTTTTTGGCGGGCGTTTCAACGAGTGACCAAACGTGATAACCCTGCGGGGCGAGGAGTGATCAAGCGTGATAGCGCTGTGATCATGCGTGATAGCGAAGTACTGTACTGTGACTGTCCGTGATAACCCCGTGACCAAACGTGATAATACGGCCATAATTGTGACTGCGCGTATAATTTCCCCAAAAGAAATGCTGCAGTTTGGACGACCAATCACAGTAGACGGACGAAATGGAGTGTGCAAGTAGGCTGCACTCCAGCTAGTGATTTCTCAGCGAAGGATCCGTAATCATAATTTTAGATGGGTCGATATTGGCTACAGCGAATGGTTGCGGCGCTTTGTGCTGTAGGCCTTCATTCCAACGAACCATGCCGATTGGAATGCTGTGTGATCATTATGGCTACAGTGCACGACTGAGGATGAATGTCCCAACTTTCTCACTTTCAGGAAAGGACAACAATAAATCTCGTCTTGGAAGGGTATATGTTATCATTAATAAATAACGAAAATATATACTCCATGTGACATTCAAAATGGCTGTTATGTTTCATACCCTTTATCAAATATGATTTCAGGTGGCATCCAATTTGATTCACGTATCATGACACATGGAGATGCATGATGCGAGAAGAGTACTGGTCCTTGACTTATTACTACCCCCACAATAATATGGCCTTTGCATACATATATTTATATGTGCTACGATATGAAACTACATGAGAAGGCATTCCTCTATGTTGCAGGAGCTGACTCTACCGAGTACGAAGTCAACGAGTCAGAAGGGTCGAAGCGACGCAGCAACCGTCTGACCAAGACCGATGCAGGCAGAAACATTTGAAATGAAAAGAGCGGGAACAGGTTTTTAACGGGTTCCCGCGCCGCACGGTTTGAACTCGCTGCAATAAGGGAATGTACCCCTTAGCGTACATGACTAGCCTAGGTATTTTCGTATTCCTTTGTATTCCTATATAAACCCGATATATGCATGCTTTTATCAACTCAGTCATTTTCATTCACTCTGACCTGAGATTCAATCTTCCGCTGCAATACTACATTGCGATCAATCCTGAGCGATCCTTCGCTAAGTCCCATTTGGGATTGTAACATGGTATGAGAGCTACTCAGGGATTCTTCGCATCTTCACTTCCGTGAAATTCGCCGAACCAAGCGAGCGGAACACGCTCCAAGACCAAGATGGCCGGAGGATCCGGAGGCCAAGCAAATCTGACGGGTGAAGGACAAACCAACCCGGTTGCGACAAATGAAGCGACAACTACGATCGGCACTGCCGCACTCGAGCAACTATTCGCTCGACTTTCTACTATGGAGAAAGAACCCCAAGAACTGTGCAAAGGCGACGCGGGAACCTCTTCCCAACCAGCTCAACCTGGACAACCGGCTACGAAAAGCCGTGATACCGCCGCGCACACAGACAAATCAACAACAACTGCCCCCCGTCCAAGTGATAAAGTCATCAACTCTGCGCAAGCACGCTTCCTCAGCGTTTAAAAAATCAAGACTACTGCCGCATTTGACGGCAAAGATTTCTAGACATGGAGTTTCGAGCTTGAGCTTCTCCTACAAACAGCGCAGATCTACCATTACTTCGACGGCTCCTACCCTAAACCGGTGGACGACACCGACGACGCCATGGCTCAGTACTACAGGGAGTCCCTCATGGCGTATAGCGTGCTGCTACGAAATATGACGCCTGCGGAACAACTCAGCATACGCTCCTACAAAGAGAGCGCCGCTCCAGCCTTGGAAGACTGGAAGCACCTAGTTGAAGTTTATCAGCCGAAGGACTTGGTTACAGCCAGCAGGCTCATGCAGCAACTCATGGAGATAAAGATGGGGCACGAGGAGAAAGCGAATTCTTATATTAACCGCTGTCGGAATAACCGTGACCAGATCACGAAGCATGGGAGCGCAATCTCGGAAGAAATCTTCATCAACATAGTCCTTCAGGGACTCGGGCCAGAGTGGGAGCCTTGCAAAGCGCTACTCCGACAACGAGAAATTATCTCAG